ATTTTAATTTGAATCCTTGCACCCTCCGGTGAAATTTGTCCGATCCTTAAATTTTTAAATGCAGTTCGACGCAGAACGTCCTTACGATTCTAACGCACCAAGTCCTTTGAAAATCCGCCAGGATACGGCTAAACTAGAGCTATTTTTCTAAAAAGGACATTCTATTTTTAGCCATAGCTTAGCCATATCCTTAAGGATATCGAAAGGATACACCTTTTTGAACTCGTGGGGAGCAGGACTATCGACTGGCATTCAAGGATTTCCATATTTCGACAAAAAAATTTCACTCAAATTTTTCCCAGGGGTTTAGTCAGAAAATTGGCCAAAATCAAACATTTCCGGGCTAACTTTGCCATTTGAAGGACTATCGGGATGTCCTTTGGACAGCTGAATGTCCTTACCCTCCCATTTAAGAATAAACAATCAGAAGGACGATAGTCCTTCGAACGGCAAAGTTTTAAGGACTTTTTCAACTAAAGAAAATGGGCTATAACTCGGCCATATCCTTGTATATCCTGACGAGTCATGTGTCAAAAAAATTGTATTAGCTAGCTCTATAAACTTGCCAAAGGATATCAAGATCGTCCTTGTAGTTTTAGAGATATCGCGTTTTTAGTATAATGCTGTGATTTCAGCCAATTTTCGTGCGCGCCGCGACTGAAAATTTACCAAGTTGATGGTTCTTAGATGACCCCATAATGTTTTAATGCAGGTCGATGCAGTTGGCCTCCACGATCCTAACGCACCGTGTCCTTTGAAAATCTGCAAGGATATGGCTGAGTTACAGCTATTTCTTTGCTCAAAATACTCATTAATTTCGTATGACATTTTTAATTTAAATGTGTTTTTATCGTTTCAGAATGAAGGATTCAAGGACTCTTATCGATTCTAAGGACTTTCAAGAATCTAACAAGGCTACTGCTTCCAGGATCGGATCTTTATTAAGCCAAATATAGTGATTTTAAGTTAAAATCGAAATTACATTTAAAAAACAACAACCTTGTTAATTTTAACAATAATTAATAATTTATTAAAAGTTTTAAACAAATTCCCGTTTTTTTACTTCCAAGGGATATGGGATTGCAACAAATTCAAAAATTAACGGTCATTAAAAATTAGTCCGTTGGCGGCCGCTGGCTGCCGAGATTTTTCTTAAATTCTGTTAAAACACCAGGCAAACAGAAATGCCCAGAAGGTTGACAAAAAAATTTGTAGCGGCGGAAAATTTCCATTGCATACCCAAACGGGGCGCCCTCGCCGCCAGCTGGGTTGCCAATTTGCACTAAATTTCCACTCAAATAACAGGCGAACAGAAATGAAGAGCCTCGCTGAACTCGTGGAAGTCCTTAGAGTCGATAAGAGTCCTTGAATCCATCATTCTGAAACGATAAGAACACATTTAAATTAAAAATGTCATACGAAATTAATGAGTATTTTGAGCAAAGAAATAGCTGTAACTCAGCCATATCCTTGCAGATTTTCAAAGGACACGGTGCGTTAGGATCGTGGAGGCCAACTGCATCGACCTGCATTAAAACATTATGGGGTCATCTAAGAACCATCAACTTGGTAAATTTTCAGTCGCGGCGCGCACGAAAATTGGCTGAAATCACAGCATTATACTAAAAACGCGATATCTCTAAAACTACAAGGACGATCTTGATATCCTTTGGCAAGTTTATAGAGCTAGCTAATACAATTTTTTTGACACATGACTCGTCAGGATATACAAGGATATGGCCGAGTTATAGCCCATTTTCTTTAGTTGAAAAAGTCCTTAAAACTTTGCCGTTCGAAGGACTATCGTCCTTCTGATTGTTTATTCTTAAATGGGAGGGTAAGGACATTCAGCTGTCCAAAGGACATCCCGATAGTCCTTCAAATGGCAAAGTTAGCCCGGAAATGTTTGATTTTGGCCAATTTTCTGACTAAACCCCTGGGAAAAATTTGAGTGAAATTTTTTTGTCGAAATATGGAAATCCTTGAATGCCAGTCGATAGTCCTGCTCCCCACGAGTTCAAAAAGGTGTATCCTTTCGATATCCTTAAGGATATGGCCAAGATATGGCTAAAAATAGAATGTCCTTTTTAGAAAAATAGCTCTAGTCTAGCCATATCCTGGCGGATTTTCAAAGGACTTGGTGCGTTAGAATCGTAAGGACGTTCTGCGTCGAACTGCATTTAAAAATTTAAGGATCGGACAAATTTCACCGGAGGGTGCAAGGATTCAAATTAAAATAAGATCACTGATATCTCGGAAACTACAAGGACGATTTTGATGTCCTTTGGCAAGCTGGTAGCCCTGTTCAATAAGAGTTGTTTGACACACGCCTCGTCAGGAGCCGCAACGATATGGCAGAATTATAGGCAATTTCGTGTGCACATAAATTACTCCTTTTCTCGGCTAATCGAAGGACATTCGTCCTTTTCTTTGTATATTCGTCTAAGCAACAGCACAATAATTATAAAAATAGCCAATTTTGTGATTAATCTTTTAAAAAAATAAATGTCCATACCTCGGAAACCACAAGGACAATGGGGATGTTCTTTGGCGGTGGCCATCAAGTGATAGATTCGGTTGATACAAATAGTTTGACACAGAAGCTGTTTATAAATAAATATATCCTTTCCCCAGATGAATGAATTGTGGAGATGTGCGACTATCTGCTGGCCAAAGGACATCAAGATTGTCCTTGGAATGCCAAAAGTTATGATTGATGTCCTTATTGGTAAAAATCATTTCAAAGCATCCGGTGTGCAAGAATCGTATGTAACAGCCAACTTGATCTGCATTAAAAATTTAAAGATCAGACAAATAGTGGGAAAAACGGAAAAAAATTAAAAAAACTAGAATTATGCTTTAGATGTCGTGGTTGAGGCCATATGAGTTCATTGACACCTGGCTACGGCCAAACTATAGCATAATTTCTGTACTGACAAATATCCTTTTACCATGACTGTTAGTACTTTGCTCAGAAAATGTGTAGGTCATGGCAACTGCAAAGTCGTCTGCACAAAATATCCAACGGACTTCCCGTGTCCTCAAATCTGCGTCGACATACCCAAAACAGTAAAGTTGTAGATCCAAAATTGACTGAAATTGTGAAGTAAAATGTTAAATGAACTGTAAAACTTTTGATATATGCTTGTACTTTGTATCACACCGAGCAGCCTATTGTGGGGCGATCGCAGTCAACGCCAAAGATAGCTTTGTTAAAGCGTTTATGCTCTCTGCATTTAGAAAAAAAGAATAACAACGCATCCACTTTATCCTCGCGAGAATTCCATACTAGAAACGATAATAGTATTAGTTATATATGAAAAACACTTTTATGTAGCTAATATATACTTAGGATGAGCAACAAACGAGGTTGAGTAATGTATACTGTTCGAGAGCCATCCAAGCACAAATATTACGGTATGGAACCAATTGATGCCATCATTACTGTGAACAGCCGGATGTGGCGCCATCACCGTCAACGCCACAGCCCGTAGAAGAAAAGCATTACCGAGCATCTACTTTACCTGAGAAGATAAAAGCGTCAGTTATATACGGAAAACATTTATGTATATCAATTATAAATTATTATATACGTACACTATTGAGTCGCCAATGTAGGGTACCAAAGGATGTGTGGCCACAGCTGGAGGCACCATCTATGTGAATGGACGATATTTTTTTAGCGTCAATTAATTCTCCTGATCTGTAGTTGTCCGAAAGGGTAAGCCATTTGAAAACTGCACAAAATATATCCGAGTAATTCCAGGTTTTCTTAAGTCTTTAAAAGACTACAACGCACAACGTAACATTCCATTAAATTGGCATCTTGAATCAAACTCACACAGAAAGAGAATCGACTGTGCAAGGCAGAGGAGAAAAAACGGTGAATGGGAGTTTAGAATATAGATAACGGACAAGCAAACACACATACATACATACAAATGAGTGTATGCGAAAAGAATAGCAAAATGCTTACGTACGTACATACATACATATGTATGTATGTTCTTTGTTTAGTGGTTTAACTAAAGCATGTTTAAGCACGTAAACCATAAATTCGACTTAGCGCGAGTAAAGTAGACAACGCTTATGTATGTAAGTCAAAGAACACACCGTTTGTTCTTATGAAGAGAGAGAGCGCCAAATATATTCATAGACATACATACATATGTACATGTGTGTGTGCGTATGCATGGTACTCTCTAATTTTGTGCACTTTGCGCTGGCGCAACTTGGTTCTATTTTAGCAACCACACATACATACACATACATATGTACATATACATATATCTATACGATTTTATACAAGTCCGCAAACTTGTAATAACTTGTGCATGTACATACATACATATACTTTTAAAGAGCTTTAGACGATTCCTGGTGGTCAACTGAAACAGATTGCGCGGTCCCAAAGTGGACTTAAAAGCAGCACTCAGCGAATAGTGTATAAGAATATACTCCACTCAAGCATAAGAATATATCACTCAAAAAAAAAACACACACACATTCAACGAGCTTGTGCATTATCTACTTATAAATTACGCTCTCTCGAATTATTGATGCTGCTTGTCGCTCTTGGCATCATATGCCTGTGGTGCACTCAGCGCTCTCACAATTTAGTTCTGAGTTACAGAGACAAATGCACAGCTAGATAACTTACATGTAAACACACACACACAAACGAAAAATCCAATAGTCAAATTTGTACATATGTACATACAAATGTGTGCATGCACTTATCGCACCGAATAAGTTATGCTCTATTTTGTAAATGTTTGTTTTTTGCCTTCAGTTAGTTTAACTGCAGTTGCACAAAAATAAATGCCCAGGTTCTGCCCAGTCGCATTGCCCTTGCCATTTAAATCAAAGCTTATCCAGTTTTGGAATTGGAATTTTAAATGCCAATTGGACGTTCTGGTTCTTACGAGTATGTCCTTCGAGTATTTGATTTACTCGATACCTACAAGCTTACATTCGTTTAATAAGAAAAACGTTTAATTTAAGTAGGCATCCGGTTTAATTTCAAGCAGATTTAATGTGAGGTCAACTGTTTCATCAAAGCTCAGATTTTAAGTTTTTGTACAAAATGAGGACATTCATATGGCCAGTGCTAGCATTAATTTTTCTCTTCTTGCTGGCCAGTGACGCTTACAATGCTAGTAAGTATAACCAATCATTTTAGTTTAAACATTGCTGTGAAATATTTCAAACGTCAGGAAAATGCGATGACAAGCCGTGCCAAACTGGTCCCTGTAGGGCATTTTTTCCAATGTGGCGATTTATAAAGAACGCTCGCCAATGCGAGTATTTCATCTACGGTGGCTGCCAGGGCACACGGAACATGTTTGAGGACGAGAAGGATTGTAAAGCGCAATGTTTGAACTAAAGAAGCTTTGAAATCTTATATCCAAGTTGATCATCACATTCAAAATTCAAAAAGGTTTCAATTAATTGACGTTACAAAATTAAAATTATAATCATTGATAACAAAAGTTTCTTTTTCTCTGAAATTAAACTGGCTGCTATGTATAATCTTCATTCTTCATTAATGTACAATTAACTACTAGATCGTTACCTTAAAATAATGAGGCCCGATCTCGTAAAAATATACCTCTTGAAAGTCCTTATAATTTGAATTATAGCAATGTGTTGGGTTCAAACTGACACAACAAAGGCCTCCTATTAGAATAAATTAATATAATAATTTCTATGTAGAAATTTGCTAATAATGTAAAAATATTTCTGGTACATTATAAGAATTTACTAGACTTACTTCGGTAGTGAGTGTTTTATTATGTTTTATTTATCAGATTTGATTGAACTTTCTGGCAGTACTTTTGCCACCTTTCTCGGCTCCTTGATCGTTGTCTGCGGGCACTGCATCTCACCCCAGCCAATGGGCACCATGGGAATACGATTCTTTCGGATATCGCTGGCATACGCAACAACAACTCCGAGTTCTGCTTCAGCTGTGCTCAGCATGAACGATTGTTCCATCTGGTTGACAACACGCGCCAATATGACATCGCCGGGTTTGAATGACTTGTAAATATCCACTCGGTCTTTTTCAGTTTCGCGCACGTCCTCCTTGCGCAGAAGACCGCGGTAACTACTCTCGAGTAGAACGTTTCCAACGCAAAATATGGCACACTTTGCGAATTTGGGTGTCGTCACAAGGACGCGTGCTGTGACGACATCTCCGGTAGCCGGTATGGTCAAATGAAAGCCTGGCTTGTGCACACTTACAATTTGGCACTGACATGATAAATAAGTTATTTGGTGTTAATTAATTATATTAATAACTTACTTTTTCCGTGGACTCGTCAATATGTACTATGCCAGATTTGCAGGCATAAATGTAGCCTCCCTGCTCGTAGGTACCTTGTCCCACGATAATGTTATCCTCCACGCGACATAAGCGCTCTCCAGGCAGGCAAATTAATATATCATCCTCATTATGAGATGTAGTAGCTGTGATTCTACCCTCCTCAGTCATATTTTCATATATTAAAATAATAAATTTGGTTTACTGATTTTGGCAACTAAATAAAAACAACTAGCCATGTGTTTTTTGCGTCTAATTCATAACATTTTTCTGAATGTTATTAACAGCGGGACTTCGGCGAATTCACATTCATAATGTGACGGAACTGTGCTTAAATAATATCGGCTACTAGTTCCAAGTTAAGCAAGATATAAAATCGTATAGCATTTATTTTTGATTGGTTTTATTCGCGAAACTGGCCTTTTTTTAACACAATATTTGGTTCTTATACACGCTTAAATTGCAATCATTTGTTTCAAATTGATATTTGGTTTATTCGAAAGTAGTTCTTTCGAACTTAAATTTTGACACCGATGCTTTTTAACATCACTAACGAAATCGATAACGTCAGCAACCGATAACACGCGCGTGTTTTTTTGCCGGCCACCGTATCTATGTGCGTTATTTAGAATATTTTTAATTATATCTTTAACTCGAGATGAACACAAAAGCTAATATGAGTTACCGAGAGGTTATACCCAAAAATATAAGCCCAGAAGAATGGATCGAAGTCGAAATAAATACAGGTGCGTTAGATGGTGCCAACGGCCAGGTGTATTTGTTAGCGTCGTCCAGAAGTGTCTCATTAATTTTGATAAATATTGCTTGTATTTCTAACCAAAATAGGCACACAAAGTACGCTGCAGGATATTAAGACTTTTGGAAAGTCAGGCAGCTATTGCTACAATTTTCTTGCCAATGGCCAAAACAGGAACCGATTTATATATTGGTAAACATTGTTATTGATTTACATTGATTTACATATGGCTAATTGTTCTATCCCAGGCGCACATATCAAGATGTTGTGGAACTGTCCGAGGTCAGCCTGGATATTTCGCTTCTGAAAAACCATCTACGTCTACGTTTTACGGACTCCGCAGTGTTAAATGTCTCGTTGTCCGAACAGGCAAACACCGTCACCCTTCTGGTGGTCACCGTCAGTAGTGTGCATCGGATTGTGTTTCCACTACAGAGCGAAGCATCTTCAGTCTCTGTAGGTCCGGCGGATTTCCAAAGGAATTCCATTTTCTATGATGCAAACGCTAACAACTTGAAGGATCGCAGCACATTTTATGTGCTCGATGGCACCATGGCTATTAGTGTGCCACACCTCGCAGCTTCCGATATGTCCGAGAATAGCCAGGAGGCATATTTCGCAGTTGACTACCATTCAAAGCTTATGCTTTATATTATGAACTGTCGGACCGGCAGCACAGTTTCGCACGAAGTGAAAGAGTCCCATTTAATGCCGCGTTTTCTAACGAACTTAAAAGGCGCTCTAACGTGGGTTCCCATATTATTCATTTTTCTCTAAATAAGTACATTAATTAAATTCCAATGCAGTGGTCGAGGAGAACATTTGGAGGGAGCTATCTCCATGGCTTTCAGTCGCATTGACGGAGAGGTGTTTTTATTGGTGCTCTATCGAAATAATGAACTGCGCTTGTGGTCGGTTTCCACTTTGCAAAGTGTTGCCTCATATAGCTGTACAGAGTACCAAGGAGCTCAGGGACGTAAGTTTTTTCTACTAAATCTAACATTTAAATATATTCATTATTTAATGTATCTTTTTAGCCCAAAATAGTTTGCTGCGCAAAATCGATGATCACAATTTTTGTGTATTTTTGTCGCACGAAAAGGACTCTGAATTCATTTGCTTTAGCATCGTGTGCAAACTGAGCGACATGAACACAAAAACCGTGGGTCTAGCTGTGCGTCATAAGGTGCCAGCACCGCAAATGGATTTGGCTGATTTCGATGCAACTTTCTCTCATATTTGGACGCTGTGGAGCAATGCTGAGGGTGATTTTAATGTGTCGGCAATTTTCTTGGATGCCGACAGCTCAATTAAATGGGTGTCTGCTGCATTGGAACCACCGCCGGATCGGTATTGTCTTACCATAGAGCAGGGCGTCGATCCTCGCGAAACATACTGTTCCTATATATTTCATCCGGGTCGATTTGATCGAAACGTGATCGCTAAGGCACTTTATGTAAGCTCTTGTTTAGATCTTGTTGCAGTTAAAATAATATGTGTTACCCTTGCAGATGTTCAGACGCGTCAACATGCAATTCGATATAAAACAACTGACAATGGGCATGCTTAAGGAGCAGGTCTGTCAGACAGTCGAAGATGAGATTCAAAATGAGCTGAAAGATTTCGTTGTCAGCGACGATGAATATTTAGAGATTGCGACCAGGCTCTGGGATCGTTTCTACTCCTGCTGCGAACAATACCACATTAAGTTTTCCGAGCCGACAGGCCTGTCGGTTTTGGGCGCCATGGATGCTGTTTGTGTTATCAGAAGGCAATCGTTTGCATTGCTTCGCCCGTGTGAAATGCTGGAACACCTAATGCTTGTTGGAGAGAACACAAGAGATGTAGCTGAATTTGTGGCGCCCTATTGCCGAGATGATCTTGTGGCGGCCCACGGCTTTATTGAACTAATGGAGGTCATCAATCTATTGGAAAAGTTTTTAAGCGAAGATATCAAATTGGAGTTGGATAAAAAAATTTATCAGAGGAATGATAGTGCGCTAACAAACTTGTTGATTCAAATCACCAAGGGCGATGATAACATTGATGATAACAATGGCATAAACATATCAACCGACTGCGTGGAGCAAATAAGAAAAAAGCTACAATCGATCAATATTGTGGATGCAGCCATTAATATGCTGCTTGATTTACTCGCCATTGTTGACGAAGATGCGTATCCTGATTCTGCAGGTATATCAGATCGCTCGAAATTATTTTGTATATCGAATTCATAAATGTTACTCCTTAAATGTGTTTAGGCGGACAAGCAAAGTCGACGCGCTTTTTGCAATCAACTGGAGCATTGTTTGGCAGCGAATATGGAATTTCCATTCTAGCCGAGACGGTCAAGCAAATGGCACTGATACGGTATAGTATTCTTTGATCTACTGGGTCTTCGTTGATTAACTAATTAATTGTAATTTTAGCTTTGCCGTTTGCCGCAACCTTTTAATTCTGCAGTACATACTATATGGCAATGTTTCTAAGAGTGACTACACTATTATGACAAATATAAATTTCCTGCACTCCTATTACACACTTGTCTGGATCTCTGAAACACCTATTTCGCTGAACACGCCAGTTAACTTGTAAGCCACAGCAAAATTAAGAGAATTGCTTTCGATTTATTACATTTTTTCCCACCTGCAGTGAGGTCTCGATACAGCGTCTGACGCGTGCACAGCTCTTTAGTGGATATACGAGGCCATATTCGAGCCAAATACGTTTAAATAACCAAACAACACTGCTTTGCTTGTTTCTGCAATCAAAGGGTCTATTTAGCGCCCTATCGATGCTGCTAAAGGAGCCCAATTCATTGGTGGATCAGTTGTCAATGCGTCAGACTCTACTACAGCTGGTTGGTTGCATCAATCAGATGCTGTAAGTTTGCATGCAATATTTGTTGTTCGTTATCTTGCTAATTGACATTTAATTACAGCTGGCCCGAGGCTTGGAATGACGTGTTCCCAGAGTGGCTTTTCGGCACATGCCATCACATTATCATTCAGGACTATGAGCGCTTGCTGGCTGGTTGGTGTAGCGAGAAAGCTGATTCGCGTAAGTATAGAGCTGCTTAAGGTTTGTATAATTAGGCTTTATATAATAAATAATCTTTTCGGGTCTTTTCAGGTAGCTTCATGCTGGCTGTTTCCCTATTAGATTGCGGCGAGCCGCAAAAAGCTATTCATCTCTTCGAGCAAGTTCAAGAGAGTGTGCTTAGGGAACCACTTTTGTTTGAACAAGTGCTGAAGAACACACCGATATATACCAAGCTTGCGGGCATCCTTAACAGACAGAAAGTTGTGCCAACAAAAGAAGAGGCCAAACTGGCTTTGGTACATTATTATCTGAAAGTTATTCAATTATTTGAACAACATTCGGCTTTCGATTATATCATTCAGTTGGCCCACATAGCTATGAACAAACTGCATGTAGACGATCAGCAGTTGCCAATGTTCCAATCAATAGTATTTAACAACCATTTGCAGCTGGGCCACTATGAGGAGGCCTATCATGCTCTGGTCTATAACGCAGACACATCGCGGCGCAAGGATTGTTTGCGTCAGTTAGTCATAATGTTGTTTCAGTGCAAACGCTTTGATCTGCTAATGCAGTTGCCTTACAATGGCCTGCAAGAGGAATTTGAGAACATTGTGGAATCTCGTGCGCGCTCCTTGAGCATCGATCAGAACGAAGTCTATAATTTTCTATATGCATTTCATGCCAACAAAGGCAATATGCGCAAAGGTAATGTCTCTCCTAAAATAATTAACTTAATTTATGCGAGTAAAGTGCGTGTTTTCCCACAGCTGCGACTGTTATGTATGAGCAGGCCATGCGCCTTCAGGTGGACAGCGATGCACCTGATGCGCTCCAAAAGCGCTGCTCCTCACTACTGGTCTGCATAAATTGCTTGTATTTGGTCGATAATCGATATAGATGGATTGCTAAACCGACAATTGGCGACGAGAAGGTGGCCACGGATCAGACTAATAACGAGCAGCGCTCTCTGGAGACTTACAAAACCCACGAAGTCGTTGTATTGGAGTTAACCGACATACGACGTGAGCTACTGCACGCAGAGGCCCTAAGAGAGCTTGCTCACCATCGCAAAGATGTGGCCGCCTATGAAATGGCCGGCGCCGAAGAGCTGTCCTATCTCTTGGCCACCTGTGGCCTATACACAGCAGCATTGAAGCTTGCACGTGGTCATGCGTTCTCGGTGCTGCCAATATTCGAGAGTCTGGCAGCTGCATGCGTTAGTACCACTGAGGATAAGACTAAGGATGCTTGGGCTTGGTTGCAGAACAATGACTTAGCAGGTATTAGTTAGAAACTTATATACCGTATTCTTTAAATATAAAGCTATGGTATTTTTCAGATCTTGCCCATCGGAACAGTGCAGCTGACATGGCTTGGTCACTGCTGCAAAAACTGGTTGTCGACAACGAGCTCAATGAATCAACTTCAATACGGAAATGTGTCGTTAACCGAATACTCACTTTGAATGCATTTGTGCCACAATGGCTGTACGATTCCTACAAATTGGCTAACTCTCGAGAGTTGCTCCATCTGTTGGTGAAGCACAATCGTTTGCTCGATGCCGCCGATTTGGCGTGTGAGATGATTGGCGGCATGCTGGGGGCAGGCAGTGAATATTTTGACTTTAAGCATTCGGTAAATGTGACTAATCCACAGCTTGCATTTCCCATCAATACAATTGATCTGCTGCTGCACGGCTTGCAAGTAAATGGCAGCAAACATATTGAATACGAGATGGTAAAGTCACCTCTTCCTTCATTTTAGTGTTTTTTTTGTACGCAAATACAATATTTGCCACTTTTCATTTGCAGGCACATGTCAAGCTCGAGGAAGAAGTTGCCCGATACATTGAGACCGTCAAGCGCACCACGGACGATAAAATGAAGTTAGCCATTCTAACGGACAGAGAAAATCGACAGCAACAGCAAATTTTTGGTTAAGCGCTCCGCATGTATTGAATGGGCGTAATAAAAAGTATAATATAATAATGTTAGAAATCATCCGTCATTACCAGTTCGGCAAGAAACTTTTTGTAGATGTTCATGAATTGGGCCACAAAAGCCTCCAAATGGAATATATGTTTCGCACCGTTCTGCATGCGATGCTCGTATTGTGTGGCGTACTCCAATGTCTTTGCCTTAATCGACATATCACAATTGTTGACCAGTTGCTCCACGAGGCCACGGAAGATAAGATTGGGTGGCACACCCTGCGAAAGTAACTCGTACAAACGATCGCGTATCTTTTCCAGTTTTGCGGGTGTTTGTTCGCTCACAATTTGAGTTGCAGTCTCACGCAGATACACTTGCCAGTCCAGCTCGGCGATTTGCTGCTGCGCTGTAAACGGATACTGCTGGACCTTGGATGCCTCCAGCATCAGTAATGCCCTTCGCATATTTCGTTCAGATTTCTCTACCACACGCTTGGCTAGCTCCGGCGGCAATGCCAGACCTTCGCGTTTACATGTGCTTTGAAGCACAGCTGTCATTTCGTTTTCGCTGGGTGCTGGTACGCGAATGCCTAAGCAACGCGACCGGATGGCCGGTATGATGCGAGATGTGGAGTTGACCGACAGTATTATGCGGCATGTGGCTACGTACTTTTCCATGGTGCGACGCAGCGCATGCTGAGCGTCCTTGGTTAGTTCATCTCCTTCAGAGATTACAATAACTTTGAATTCCCGTTGACCATTAATGTCGATTTGGTGTGTTTGTGCCACCTGCTTGATCAGGTCTATAACAACAGTCCGGTCGTACATGCCGGCGTCCGAGGGATTCACCTCCAAATGGTAATTGCTGCCAACTGTCATCACCTCGATCTTACGATTTGAGGGCGTTGTGAAGCTCATTGTTTCGTTGCGCAGCCTCTCCACGCCGGCACCATACATCTCACGCAGCAGGCACATTATGCGTGTCTTCTTGCCCGCGCCAGATGGTCCATAGAACATTAGATGAGGAAAATCACTTTGCTTGCAGAGATTGCGCAGGTTTTCGGCTTGGTCCTAAAATCACAAAAATATATTGAGTTATGTTTGTACAAGTATAGGCGACAAAATTTGATTCACCTTGTGGTAATCCAACTTGGATAACTCACGGGGCCGGTATTTGTCTACCCAAAGTGCCATTAAACCTTGTTATTTAGCACATAAAACACTTTATAGCGAATAATATATAAAATCTATTCCGGCTTCACTTGTGCAATGCGCGCTTTTTTTGCGATTAAGCAATCGTTCAGTCGTGAAATGCTATCGATAACATTAATGTTAGTAACTATCGATAGTATATAGGTCACCGATACTTTTTGAATACATATCATGGCAGCGGGCTATTTGAATTTGATTTTTTTTATTGTAACCAATATTTAAAAATAACCGAAAACGAAAATATTTGGTACCTGCTATTTTGATTGACATTTAAGATAATGCATTTTGTGGAAGGTTGTCCCAACGATCTTACTCAATAACTTCTACCTTGACAACCGTCTCTTCGTGGGTGCGAGAATGTCGCGAAAGATTCGCCTTACTCGAAAATGGTTTATAGCAAATATTGCAACTATAAGGACGCTCGCCCGTATGCGTTCGCAGATGTGTGTAAAGTGTTTTACGTGCTCCAAATGCCTTTCCGCAATTGTTGTGGGTACATACAAAGGGACGCAATTTCAGATGAACTGCATCGTCATGCTCCTTCAGATGGCAAAGCTTTTTAAATTTTCGTCCACATGTGCTGCATTGGTAGCCCTCCCTGTTATTGTGCCGAGCCATATGTGCTTCTAGATCCTCTTGACTGGCTCTGTCATGCGAGCAGATCGGACATCGAAATTGAGTGCTCGCCAAATGGTTATTCATATGAAGGTTCAGCTCTGTTTTTTGCCGAAATGATTTTTCACAAATTTTGCATACAAAAGGCCGCTCTTTTGTGTGACCCATTATATGGATGCGCAGGGTTCTGGCCAAACCAAATGAACGTTGACAAAAGTCGCATTTATATGGACGTAGGCCTTCATGGACCAATCTTACATGATCTTTCAAGTGCGTTTTCCTCTTGAACTCCCGCTGACAATACGGACAAATGTTTTCTGCGTTGGAAAGACTTACGACTGTATTATCCATTTCAGAATCACTTTCCTGGGAAAGATCCTGTTCTTTTGTGCTGGTTAACTAAAAAATAAAATAATGTTAACATCATTAACATATTTTACTTAACAGTACACCGGATATGCACACAGATGCCTGTTAGGCGACTTAGAGCTGGACATAAAGTATTTTCCAGTTTATGACTTACTTTGATTTCATTTTTTTCCTTGCGATTTTCATCCCCAATATTAGGATATTCTGTTTTAATTGAGGTATCCAGTTCGGGAATTTCGTCTGTGCTTGACAATATAGTAGATACAAAATATTGTTGGCTTTCTTGTAATATCCTTTGAAATTCCAGGAATGTTCTACATTTTTGGGAGCAATATTTACATATGCTCCCAGCCGGCTTGGTATCAATCGGTTGCATTTTATCAGTTCCTGTAAATATAAGGCGCATCAAGTTCTGCAGCTTGGGTGAGTTTTCGATTGAATTAGCATTATGGTCCGCTTTAATTTTAAAGCATGTAGCACATATCATTTTAATTTTAGTATCGTCCGTTAACTCAAGCTTTTCAGCTGTTAATTCATTAAGAGCGACACCCGTACAAATGGACATCTCTGCAAATTTTCGAAACATGCCAACTTTTGTGTAACAGGAATGACACAAACGAGTTGGCATTGCCAACTGCATTCCCGTTCTCATAGGCTGTAATCCATCTGCCATTAATTCAACAATGCGTAAGAGTTGCGGATCTTCTTTTAAATCATGTCGAAGTTCCCTTGTATTTTGTAATTTTCCTAAATCTTGCAAGCACGCTCTGCAGAAATTATCTACTGTAGCACGGGTTATTGGCAGCATCACGAAATGCGCTCATTTATTCGCAGATGTTAACCAGTTGGAGTTAAATAAAGAACTGAGTTTGTTTTTATGTTAAGTATGTACAAGTGCTGTTAACCAGCGTTGCCAATCTGTTTCAATGCAATAAGAGTTGCACAGCTGACTGCGCTATTAGGCGCCTATATAAAATTTCAAAAGTAGTCTATCAAAATATTTACATTTAATTACATAAGATTTTAACTTATACAACACTAAAAAAAAATAGCTTCTTTTTGGCCCACAACCTTTCAACTTAGTCTAAGCATTCAACACGTCATTGGCTAGCTCAACGCCGACAAAAACGGCCGCGGTTGAAGGAAAAGCACGTATCAGTATAGGCAAAACACCGCGGTACAGCGCCTTGGGACCCTCTGTGGCCATCAACTCTCGAAAAACGCTGCGTATGCCATGCGTATATGTACCCTCGGGCGCTGCATAAGACTAATGTTAATAATTGCCAGGTTTATAAGTATATAAGCTTTGGCTAACTGACCAGATTGTAGTCGACTTTTAAGTACATCAAAAGGCACAGCCAGGGACCAAAACGCAATGCCAGCCGTGCCCCCAGCAAAGATGGTTGAGGTCGGTGATATTTGTCCCGTTGCCGAGCGCCGTCTGGCCAAATCCTGTAAGCCCTCATAGACAACAAAATAGACACCAGTGGGTGAATCTGCGGAAATGCAATGTTATAAAACGCATGTGTGAATACAAATGATGGCGCACTAACCTCTCAGCACGCAGGCGCAGGTACCTTTGAAGAGACTACGAAGGCCGCCCTGCCTGTACAGTTTTATGGCCGTATCCAGCATGCCATTATACATAACGGGGCCTGTGACCGGTTGCGTTTGCAGCAACACCTTAATACGATCCGTTGGCACAGTGACCAGAGCTGAGCAAATGCCCGCACCAACGCCGGCAATAAAGATTTGTGTGTATGTTAGCTTAACATGTTCGTCCGTTTGAAAGAGACGCTTGCCTGCCGCATAGACGGCAAAATCCACAGCATAGATGGGCGTCACACCGACCAAAGGCGCTGAAATGCCTCTATAAAAGCCTCGAACGCCCTCAGTGCTAAAGGTTTTAACAGCACAGTCGATAATGCCTTTATATTTGGGCGGCTGTCCAGCTGCAGGCAATGGCATTGTCTGCAGCCGCACCTTAAAGTAAACTAATTTTGAGCACTCGTTTTTCGTCATTAAATAAACATTTTCAAAACGTACCTTAATTGTGTCCAAAGGATAGCCTGTGAGCACACTGCATATACCTCCAAAGCCGCCAGCTATGAACGATTTCACAGGATTCGCTTTGTGATCTGCTGTTGCCGCTGCCATGACAAACTATTTACGTAAACAAGCCCAGAATATCGTCAGCCACTCTTTGATGCTTACTAATTGCTACATGCACGTGCGATGGCGGTTGCTTGGGTTATGTTATCAGTTGGCTGAGCTGTTGCCTATTTATGCTAATAAAATTGGAAATTTCTGTAGCAAGTTCAACATCCATTGCAAAGGCACAATACAAGCGGTCTTATCAAATAAAACCATATGCTTAATGGGCAGCCAAAAATGTACATTACATTTTGCTAAACTGTTATTAACAGAGAGCACTAATCTTTGCTGTTAAATGCCTATTGTTCATTTGTCAGTGTTCTGAAATGTCATAAAATTAATTTGTTACTGCAATTTGCTTTAAAAAAAAAAAAATTGTGTTTGGCGGCGTTTAGAGAAAAAGACAAAACGGCGCTGAAAACTTGGACTTTGAATGAACAGCTGATAAACGGCCCAAATAACTGCCTCTTAAAATAAATAACAGAGCTATAGCGAAGAACAGTGGAGATAACAGATAATTGAAATAATTGCAATTACATCTTACTTCACTTTTACCTATTTGAATACGACGAGTGGAATCATGATGCGGAAAACTCTTGTTGTTACCGACTCCTGTTTACATTTTAAAAAAATACAATTTTGATAGAGTTTTCAAATATGCTTGGAATTCAATATACCTTTGTTTGGCGTTTTAAAATAAATCTAATTTGAAGATTGTCTTTTGAAAGGGAATTTGTATAATTTAAAAACTATATCTATTGACAATTTTGAATACATCGGCAACTATCATAAATTTGGTGTCTTAAGGCTATGGCTCCTAGCATGCGGATGAGCTTATGGTCAAATAAATGTCAAAGTATCTGAAATAAGAAACATAATTGTTTGACATTTGAAAAAAAATTACAATTGCGAAAGCGCCTATGCTTAAAGTCGTTTATCGAAAAATCGCCAGTCACTGCGATTTCCATTCATAATATTTAAACTTTTAATGAAAACAAAGAAAATTGATCTCTATATGCATTGAACACAATCAAAAATGATTTTTTAATACAATCATACAACAATAATTTACCATTCACACGACCCAGCAATATCAATTTCGTTGTTATCGATTTATCGAGTGTGCCAAACCAGGGCTGGCAAAGCGGGCTGAAATTGTTGCGTATGCGTGTGCAAAGCATATGCATAGCATATTTTATTGTTTAAAACGATCCTTTTGTGCAGAGAGTTGTGCAAAAACATATGTAGAACTTATGTCTGATACAGGTGCGCTGGAATTATGTATCAGTTGTAGTGCGAGCTGCAGTAGCAGACGCAAAAGAAGAAAGTGAAGCTACAACAACAACAACATCGACGACAACAACAACAACAACAACAACATTAGCAGCAGCAACAAATTTTGTAAAAACAACAAAAGCGAAAAGAAAAATACATATATATTTGTACACAAGCAACGCACACGCAACGTGCTCGCATCAGGCCAAAAATTAAAAAACTTTTGCAATGTCCAATGGTGACGATGTGCTAGACAACTGGGAAGAAATTGACGAGGCAGGCGTGAGTATTGAATGACATTACAACAACAACAACAACAACAAAATCGTTGAAAATGCTCTCTCGAATCTCTTATAGCTTTGCATGACGCTGCAAACGAAACTGCAAACCGCCAACGACGACACCAGTAGCAAGTTTAAGCCCGCCTTGACAGCTGAATCCGCAACAGTTGCTGCGCCTCAAGCAGCAGTCGCCTCAAGCAAAATGAAATTGCTACAGCGCCCACAGAGCCTGCAGGAGGGCAGCGGCACAACGGCCACGGCGCCCAAGCAAATAATGATTGCCAAGAAGCCGCCGCCGCCAGCGCCGTCATTGGATGATGAATCGAGCACAGCGCCCGTTATGATGGTACTGCACAAGTCCAATAGCGAGTACGATGCGGCCAATTATGCCACGCCCATTAGCAACCAAACGGTAAAGATATTGCGCAGACCCGCACAAGCCGAGGAACGTCGTGATACAAACGGTATACGACCCAAGCAGCCCATCAAGACGCTGCAGCAGCGAGAGCAGGAATATGCACAGGCCCGTCTGCGCATACTGGGCAGCGCCAAGAATCCAGAGGACGACAAGCCGTTAGTATATTACTATATAATACTGCAACACCAATTGCAGATACACAACACGCTCACGCGATTTTTATGTTTATCGTTTATGTTGTCTGGCTTTATACCCATGCAGTGGCTATTATATATTATAATTTAGTCACGAATTGAAGAAGGCGAGGAGACAGGATAAAACTTCTGTCCGTCTGTTTAAATGAAAACTAGCCTCCCTTCATAATATAACATAGCTTTTATAGTAAACAAATTCGACCAAAATTCAAGTTTCATAGGAACTATTTACTTTTTGTGCTGAAGATTGAACGATCTTTATTATGCTTCGCTAAGACAATCTTGCCTCTAATACCTTTGATAGCATACCTGAACGTTCTTACGATCGCATGCTAGTTTTAACCTAGACTAAATTTAAACAAAAATAAACTATTTATTATACGCAGTGCTTCGCCGACAACGCTCGTGGTGCTGTCAACCCCAGTTCAAGCTGAAGTGCCTACGTCGCCTGCAACTTTCAACTTTAACAACAACAACAACAATAACAACAGCGGCATTGTTGCTAGTGCTGCACCTGGCATGCATCGCTCCAGTTCGGCACCAAAGATGTCGCAAACAGCGCCCATCTACAACAACTATAACAACTACTATCAGGCGCCGCCGACTCAAGCAGCCATGGGCTACTATTATCAGCAGACACCTTCCATGCATCAGCAACAGCAGCAGCAGCAACAGCAGCAGCAACAACAAACGCCACCACACTATAACAAACGGATGTCTCCATATGTTGCAGGCGGAGCAGCTGCAGCGGCGGCAGCAGCGCCACCAACCCCCAACTCTCAGCAGAGTTGGTCGCCAGTTGTCGGTGGCAGCGTCTCGGCGGCGTTGCTGCGCCAACAATCGTTGCATACGACGTCGCTGCAACAGCATCAGGCGCCGCCACCGCCGCCGCAATATGCACATCCATATAATGATAATGTCTTACGGTTGCCACGTGGTCCGTGTCCCAATGGCACAATTGGATTTCAGATGCGTCGGTAACAGGCGCCTGGACGCAACAAAAATTCTTTTATTTCTAATATCCCATGCCAATTGAACGCATGCATTCAAAATTGTCATTCTGAGATTGCATTAAGTAATTTTTTTGCTTTATATTTATTCATTTTGTTTGTGGCACATCGTAACGCTGCAGCAATCACTATGTAAACAAATTTATGACGGAGTTTGGTAGTTATCTTGTAAATTTTTACAAACAACAACAAAAAAAATACAATTTTTTAATGCCTACTAATAATAATAACAAAACCAACAAATGCAAAACCGAAAGAAAAATACATATTTTACAAATCGAGCAAATGTTACTTGATCGAGTGTTTTCCAACAGTTAAAATTTCTTTATAATATTAAATGGAGTGTTCCTATTACAGATTAAGTAAGTATTCAGACTTCGGTCCAGATCATACTCTTATCAGACTGTCGCTTAAGCATTTTTATAGATCTCCGGAGACTTTTAGTCTTAGGATCTTGTAAAAGTATTTAAGCAAATACAATAGAAATTCGCATTTAAAGTTTGACCAGTAATTGTAGAGCTATGCTTAAGTATTTCAGGACAATTTCAGACTGAGCTTTAAAAGGCGCCACTCACGACTACAAAACCCATATACATATATATACATATATTAAATCAATTGCGGAAATCAGAACACGTAATGCATTAGTCGCCTTGATTTGAAAATTCTAATTTTATATAATATTTTTGAATATTTTCTTTGCTTTCAGCTTTAAGATCAAGAGTTTTTGAAAATTCTATCATATTGGTGTATTAATATCAGGCTTCAAGAAATCAAAACAAATAAAAAAATATATTTACATATATGATCAATATTGAAATGAGATATTTTTCTGGGAACAAGTACAATGATCTCTGGCTGTATTTATTTCCGTAACTGATATAAGGTCATAAATTTGGCATGACGATCAGTTAATTCACATCAACGAGCTTTAATATGAAGATTATTTGAAGTGTTTTTATTTCGAGTTTCTCCAAATTTTACACATTTTGTTTGATTTTATTCTGATTGGAAACAGATCAGCAGATATGCATAAATGAAAGCAAGAATATAAAAACAAGTAAAAACACACTTAACTTAATAATTAACGTCAAAGCTGCGCTGATAGCTGCAGATGCATTTAACCCCACACGGGGATGTGCGGTTAAGGCCCCAAAAGGTTATCGATGTGTTTGTGTTATTTTTTTCGCAGCTTTTCCAGCATAATAACAAAATCAACGAACTGCACTCGAGCGAGAGGCCAACGCCAACGACTTTCCAGCCAGTTTCTTATCAGCAACAGGTAGCAACGTTCAATACAAGTGAGAGAGAGAGAGTGAGAGAGAGAGAGCGGAAAAAATAACACATCCAACTGACATCGCAGTTGGCACTGCGGATCGACTTACCTAGGCTTGACTATTTGGACTTTTGCCTACACATTAAATATTTAATGCAATCCAGTTTCAGTTGAAAACGCGACGTCGTGCGGTACGGTTTATTAATCAAAGAACGACGAAAGCAGTATAAGAAGAAGTAACTGTAAGACTCTTTTAACGAAGCTACGCTCATTCACTCTCTCACACTCTCGCTCTCTGTGTGCGTGCGTGCGTGCTGAAAGCCCAAACAGAATCTACAAAACGTGAAAACGTGAACACGTGGGCACGAGGCAAACGGCAAAACAAAAAACAATATAATAATATTTTGTGAATAAAACGTGCACAGGTTTTGATTGTTGTATTTGCGAATAATTAAAAAAAAGAATGTCGCATAGCGTGTTGGTCATCGGAAGCGGCGGACGCGAGCACGCCATCTGTTGGAAGCTCACACAGTCGCCGAAAGTTGCGCAGATCTATGCGCTGCCCGGCAGCTTTGGAATTGCGCAGCTGGGCTCAAAGTGCCAAAACGTTGGCGCTGACGCACTGGACCCGAAGGATTTTGAGGTGAGTGCAGCGTACGCTGCGGAGGTTTGTGGCTGCAATTGACTAAATCCACGCACAGCCACACTGTGCGCGTCCTTCACTTAACCTTCGTGCCGGGCTTTAAGTTACATTGCGCGCCGCCGGCCGTCTGTCTCAGAGTCAAGTGTTGAATATGTTTTTGCCAGTGGATGCTGCAGCTGTGCTGCGCCGCGAATTTTTCAACATTTTATTGCTCTTTTTGAGGCTTGCTTTTGACATTTTTTTATGGTACTCGGTTAATTTGGTTTAAATGCTAACCGGCGCTCGTAAATGAATCCAATCAAAACCGTAGCAGTGTCCAATCTTTGCAATCTCTAACTGAATGCTTGTTTATGTGTGTGTGTGTGTGTGTGTGTGTGTGTGTTCGTGTCGTGTGTGAATATTAACCCTTATGCTGTACGGGGTACTTAAGCGCACATTCATCGCTTTGTCATAAATCCAAGCGCCGAATAAAAATTAATATAAATATTTAAATGCAGTTTTAATTTTGTTCAATATAAAAATACTCTTGAATTATAATTGAGTAATTTATCATATTTATAATATATATTACGAGTATAAAACATCATCTACTGTGGCGCTCTGCTATTTTGAATGACTGACTGACTGATTGACAGATTGATGAAACCTAGGCTGTGATTGCTGAAATTCTGAGGAATAATTGCAATTTCTATGAAAATTATTCTACCTGGCAAATAAATTATTGTGGATTTGATCCGAGTGCATTTCTTTTTCTTTTTCTTATTTGTTAATAATAAAACTAATAAAAAATTAATGCATGAAAAATGCATTTAATACATGGATAATTTATTTTAAACGATTTTTTAAAGTCTGGGATAATTTAAATTAATCGAACATAATATAAAACAAATAAACTATTTTCTATTTTTTGTCATGAAAAGAATTTTTTATTGGGATTCTTATTGGAATTCTTATTGGAATTCGCAAACAATATTAAATCAGCTAGTAAAAATATTTAAATATAAATAGTGCGAAGCGTCTAGAAGATGAGATTATGCTGATACGGCAGATGGAGCTTTGCTCAAGATTACAAGCTTGTATATATATTTAAATAATGTAAATATTAAAGTAATATATAACATTATTATATTAATAAATAAATATATATAGAGTGTTCATCCTCAGCGCGCTCCACGGAAGTTTTTAAGTATGGAGGGAGATTTGAACCAAAAATTTTATCGTCCCGCACAAATCGAAAGATCTGCATTATGTAGGATTCTTTAAACCAAAAGGCACTTTATATGCCTTTTCTTGCAGTTATTAGTTTACTGCGAACAGGGTATTAAGCAGTCGGCTACCTACAAGCGACTGCAGTTTTTGCACTTGTTTCAATTTAATATTGATTTGTCAGTCTATTTGAAAGCTTGATTTCAATTCCGACATAAATTCCTATACCTATTAGCAGGTGGATTAATGGCCCGACGGCGCATTAGCGTCTGCCCGACTGGCGCCTAAAACAAAGGCATCCGGCGTCCATATACAATTCCATTTGCTGTTTCATATTTCTGCTATAAACTCATTTTGCTTGGCTTAACACTTCTATTTATTGTGGCTTAATTAATTGTTTAGATCAAATTCACAGTTTGTGTTTGTGTTTGGCTTCTCTACAAGTTGCCATTTTCCCTGTCGGGCCCCGGGCCCCGGGCCCGCCCCCTCGTTCCGGCGCCAAAGCTGCCCACATTAGCGTCGTCTGCCCGCCAGCTGAGTTGTGGGCGCATGCGTCAGATGCACCACCTTGGGCGTGGTGCTGGGCCGGGTGCGCGGCGTGGTGGGCTCCTGAATGTTGCGCTCGTATACCTTGAAGGCCTCCGCATCGTGGGCAACAGTCTTAATTTCGCCCGTATAGTAATCCTTCACCTGGTAGGGATGTTTGCGTATGTACTCCAGTGCGCGCCGTATATAATCCGGTACCTTGGGTATATGATCGCCGACGGGATAATAGCCCTTCTCATCGGCCACATAGCTAATGCTGATGGGCGTGCCCTCCGGTGAAGTGTAACTGGAGCCGCCCTGCACGGCAATGCCGCCCAGGCCGGACTGTTTGCCGGCAATGCCATTGGACGTTTCATAGGCATACCGATAGCTGCCATCCGGTGCCACGTCCAGCTCATTCTGCAAGGTGCGCGTATTGCGATCCGAGTCGGGTATATAGACGCTGGCCTGGATCACAGCCGCCGCGCACAAGAGTTGGATCTACAAGATTGGCACGGCTGATTAGTTTAAAAGTAAATGCAACTGGGCTGAGTTTGGCAATCTTACAAGCAGATTAAACAGCATTTTTGCGTATAATAATTTTTTAAATTATTTATGTATATTAATTTTGTTTTTTGTTTTTTTTTTCTGGGGAGGGAAAATCTCGAATCACGTCGCGGTTGTTCGTTCTAGCGCTTTAAATCAACGACTGTTTGGCTGCTTTTGGCATGCTTTCGTTTTTATATCCAATCCGCTCGCGGTAATTTTTTTTATTTTTTGGGTTTTTGTTTTTTTTATTTTTTGGCATTTTTGTCTCTGCTCCAAGAGCGAAGGCGGCGGCAGCGACGTCGGCGTCGGCGTCGCCGTCTCCAGCCGCTCGTCAGCTCATCTCAAGCGTCTCTCATAAATTAAATGATTTTATTTGTCTCATTCTCATCCTCCTCCTCCTCCTTCTTTTTTTTTTTTTTTTGTAATAATAATTATTATTTTATTACCAAATTGTTTGTGGGCCGGGTTAATTCATTTATTGGCATCCGTTTCGTATGCCCTGCTCGAAGGTTGTGTAGCACTTATTTATTTGATATATTTTCAGATTATTGTCGCTGATCTTGGAATACATTTATTGCCTTACATTCCATAATGTCTTGTTTTTATTTTTTTTTTTTTTTGTTTTTGCACGGAAACTGCAAATATACAAGAGAACGTTGAACTGATCGTAAAAGTAGTTGGGCTTGGGTCTTAAACGGGGCTCGCTTGCGAATTGCATTCAGTTTTAGATTTTAACCTGTTTCCTTTTGCCAAACATATTTTGAGATCATTTTATCATTTAACTTGATTATTCTATTATTAAGTGTTGTCAATATGTTATTTTAGCAACATTTTAAATGATTTCTGGCCTTAAATGGTTTGCTTCATTAATTAAAATGTGTTTGCACAGTTTTGGCTAAAACAAGTGTTTTTTAGTTGAGGGTGCATGACAGGATGATACTCTGCACTCAAATCCAAAAAAAAAAAGACACAATGTGTATTTCATATTATACATAAAAAATTTCCATACAACAATTATCAAACGTTATCTTATTAGTTTGATAATAAAAGCATTTTACGTATAGCCAAATGCGAAAATAGAAAATGTACATATGTATATTTAAAGGTTTAACTAAAGTTTTGAATATTGCATAGAAAGGCGCTGTTAAGAAATGAGAGAGTGAGTGGAATAGTAAAAAGTCAGACAGAGAACGAAACTAAGAGGGAGCACAATAAACGACAGCGAGTAACGAAGAAGGAAGCGTCTATAAGAGAGGGAAAAATGAGGGACTTATAGCGAGAGATTGGAAGAGATTCAAATAGACAGAGAGAGAGAGAGAGAGAGCGAGAGAGAGAAGGTGAGAGAGCGTGGCACACCAAAATAAAAAAGCAAAAGTAAGAAAGGCAGGGAGAGATAGAGAGAGAGGGAGAGAGAAGGAGGGAAAAAGGAAAGAGAGAGTGAAAGGGTGCGTATAATAATGGGAACATAGTATAGAATAATATTATATACATATATTAAATTCTTATTGTTACCCATCATATGACCAAGAAATCGTTAGATCCAGAGTTCCATTAAAAACATAATCTCTAGTTTCTTTCATAAGAAGCTTCTATATTTCAGAACTCGTACTTCCCTTAGCTCGATTCTTACAGCTGTTTCCATTCCTATTCACAAGCCGAGCCAACAAAGCGTAACTAATCTATCACATTTCTGGCAACAAATTTTCGGCAAAAGCCCGAGCTTTGTGTTCTAGCCCGGAGCTCATTTGCATATGGCATGCAATATAGTAAATCATGTGCAGGTACAGAATAACAAAAAACAAAAAAAAAAAAAAAGCTGTCCTTGGCCAAATTTGGAAAGTGGTCAGAAATTCCGAGACTCAGCTTGTCGCAAGACTATTTCTTCTCGCTGTTTGGGAAATGGAAACCTTGGCCGGATTGCCATAAATGGAACTACCAAATGGCTATGCGAAAACGTCACATTTTAGCAGCTGACTTGGAGCCCGACACCAAGATTTGAACGTTCTTGAACTTTTGTGGGAGGCCGGAGGTTGAGGGGAAATGCTGTGCGGTGTGCTAACGTGTTAAATGGTCTGGAACGCAGTTGCACTTTGCGTTCGGTGCGGGTAAATCCAATTTGAGATTGGCGCCAAATCGATTAGAACTCAGACTAAGACGCAGCGCATCAGTCACGCTCCGAAACCGGACGAGCAGGGCCCGGATTTTACGATCTGGTTACTCCATCAGGCATAGCTCTTAACTGAGTCAGTTAATCTTTGTTGTTGTTATTATTAATTTTTTTTGGCTATAACGACATTCACCAATGAGACAATGCACCCAGTTTAATGGCAAAACAATTAGGAAGGAATTTTTCGTGGCGACAAATTGTTGTCGTCGGAACCGGCTACAATTTATTGGCTTTAGTTATTCTGGGCTTGCCCTGAATTATGAAATTAACATATTAAATTGTCATACCCTGTACCGTCTGCAAGCAGAAAAGTAGCCACAATGGGTATCATAAAGTTGGGCTGCAAATAAATGCCAAGGCAGCCGAAAGATCTTCGATAAATATTTTGTTGTCTGAGCATGACTCAAATCTTTTTTTTTTTTTTTGGTAAATTTTAAAAATATACACAATAATTTATATTATATTCTTAAATTTATTGAGTTTTTGTATTTATATATTTTTTATAGAAGATATTTTTATAAGCAATCAAAAAATGCAACGAAATTTTGGAAGAATTGTGCGACAGCAGGCGAAGTGTTTCGGTGTTCTTAGAAAATGAATAAAATATCTTGTTTATTGTCTTTTGGAATTTCCAAACTCTCAAGTAAAGAAGGAAGGGTATCTGCTTGCTCAAAGATATGCGATTTTTGGTATATGTAGATATTTCTATGTGCCCTAACAATATTATTCCAGAATAATATTTCCTATGGAAAGAAGCTGGGGGAATAGGATTCCTCGTCAGAGTGCACGGATATTCTAGGGTGTCTGCTAGTCAGACACATTCTCGCTGACTTGCTTACATTTCAAATTGTGTTGATTTGGAATCTTTTCCAGGCCATTGCCAAGTGGTGCACGCAGAAACTGATCTCGCTGGTGGTGGTTGGACCCGAAGATCCGCTGGCTCTGGGGCTGGGCGATGTGCTGCAGAAGGCGGGCATTGCCTGCTTTGGCCCCGGCAAGCAGGGCGCGCAGATTGAGGCGGACAAAAAGTGGGCCAAGGACTTCATGCTGCGTCATGGCATTCCAACGGCACGCTACGAGAGCTTCACGGATGTGAACAAGGCCAAAAAGTTTATACGCAAGTAAAGTTCGAGCCCAGTCGCCGGCTAAATACAAATTGTTAAGCTTCCTCTTTGTCATTGCAGTGCGCCTTACCGCGCTCTGGTGGTCAAGGCCGCCGGCCTAGCGGCCGGCAAGGGCGTCGTGGTGGCCGCCCATGAGGATGAGGCCTGTGCGGCCGTTGACGAGATACTTGGCCGGCTCAAGTACGGTGAGGCGGGCTCCACTCTGGTCGTGGAGGAGCTGCTCGAGGGCGAGGAAGTCTCTGTGCTGGCCTTCACAGATGGCAAAACAATTCAAGCCATGCTGCCCGCTCAGGATCACAAGCGTCTGTGCGATGGCGACACCGGACCTAACACTGGCGGCATGGGCGCCTACTGTCCCTGCCCGTTGATTAGCAAGCAGGCCCTGGAGCTGGTGCAGCGCGCCGTGCTGGAACGTGCTGTCAAGGGCTTGGGCCAGGAACGCATCGCCTACCAGGGCGTGCTCTATGCTGGCCTCATGCTGACGCGCGATGGTCCACGCGTTCTGGAGTTCAACTGTCGCTTTGGTGATCCCGAGACGCAGGTAATACTTCCGCTCCTGGACTCCGATTTGTATGAGGTGATGCAGGCCTGCTGCACCGGGAAGCTGGACAAGATCAGCTTGCAATGGCGCAGCAGCTTGAATGCTGTCGGTGTGATCATGGCCAGCGCTGGCTATCCGGAAACATCCACCAAGGGTTCCCGCATATTAGGTGATTATACAACTCTGCACTTACAAAAATATGCAACCAATTATATGGCGAGAAAATCAGACAATATGACGTTAAATTAATTTTAAAACTCGAATACTCAGTTCACGGCTCAAACAAACATCCGGCTCTTAGATTCGTTTCGTGAAGCAACCCAATTTGCATACCCTGGTAAAGGGTATTATAATTTTGTCATGGAATGTGTCACACATAGTAGACATCTCCGACCCCATAAAGTATATATATATCCAAACTTGGCATTTATAAGTTCCGCTAGGTTCGTCATATATATAAATCTGATTTTATTGGACCCATATATATTTTAATATATAGATAGATATTTTGAAAAAACTCGGCATTAACTATTTATATTATGCTAATTGCTTTAATATATTATAAAGCTTCATAGGAAGAATCGGTCGAAAAATGAGTTTTTATCTGTCAAAGTACTCTTTTTCATGATATCTTTCATCAATCTTAGCATGTACGAGCTTCAATATTCTGACATATTTGCAACACCGTAAGGCAAATGTCTATCAGGGTATTAACTCGTCGGCGTATCGAAATGATCTCGTTCGGGTTTCAGTTCGGCTTTCTATTGACACATAATTAGGTTAAACGTTCGGTTCATATTGAAAAAGATATTGGAATTTCGAGTTCGAAACGAACTGAATTCAGCTTTTGTTGATAGTACTAAAAAATATATTATAATATAAAATAAAAAATATGATATAAGTAATAAGGAATATAATAATAAACTATCAAAACAAATGTTAAGCCTGGGACAAGAACCCAGAATATCTTTCGAGCACATTTTGTTAAATCCCGAACTGAAGGTCATATTATATATTATATATTAACTTATTGTTAACTTATCGCACACTTGTATATAATATAATACCTCTATATTACTAAACTCGCAGGTCTGCCCGAAGAGAACACAGAGACCCAACTGATCTTCCACAGTGGCCTGGCCGTGAATGCCCAGAAGCAGCCAGTCACAAATGGTGGACGCGTGCTCATCGCCGTTGCCCTGGACGCCAGTCTGAGGCTGGCCGCTGCCCAGGCCACCAAATTGGCGGCGAGCATCAGTTTTGCTGGGGATGGAGCACAATATCG